ACATTGGCAACTCTGTTTCTCCTTCTGTTTCTGTCCTCCTGTGCTATGTAGGCCATGGAAAGGCCCCTTCCTTCGCACCACTCACACACATTACAACAGCTGGCAAATAATTTCATTTCATTGAATGCTACAAGGGAGAGCCCGGTACAGAGAAACAACTGTTTCCACATCGAGGGGGGAGTGGGGGAGGTGGGGGAGAGAGACGGGACGCAGGCAGTCAACTGTCAACGATGTTCCTTGTGCCAACATTTTGTCCTAGATTTCATTATTGCCAGCAAATTAATTGCACGCCCAGCCCCAACAAAACCGATACTTACCGTAGAGGCCTTCGCAGCCGAGCACGGCAAAGCCTACCTCACCTCAATGGTGGCTATGGGGGCTTTGTTATGAATAATTCTGTTTGCCATTGGCTTGACCCCACCAGGCACGACACACCACCGCCCGCCGAGGGAAGACTGGTAATATCCTGGTAATGAGCCGGGAGAACTTCTCCCTCGCAACCCCCCACCCCCACCACCATCCCACAAATGATTCAGTTACATATATGTGTAGTACTACTTTCAGAACAATCAACTTGGCTTTTGTATTAAGCATTCCATTGCCAGACAATATCTGCAAGCTCTTCCCGGAACCCATACGGGCACCAGCGCCCAACCGCCCCCACACAAGGCGATGAGTACGGGGACTAAGCCGAATATTATGGCCATAAAAATGTTTCTTTAAGCTTCTCCGATAACAGAACGAGACAGAGATACAGTAGCAGAGGCAGGAACAGAGACTGAGAGTAAGAGTGCAGCCAAGCAAGTGAAATCCTTTGGCAAGGCAACAGCGAAATTTCAATAAGCAAAACATCCATGGGATTATTTTATGCAGATATTCTTAGGATTCCAAAGTAAAGGGATGTTTAAGAATGGCAACAGAAGAGCTATAAATGGACTTGAGTACATACATACGAATATGTATTAGCAATGAGGTTGTTTGATTTCAATTTAAGACCAAACTTTATGTTCCGCAGTACTTAAAGCTTCTGTAGGTCCCCGGGTCTCCAGCTATTGAATAATTAATTCACATTTAAATTTCCCCGCTTAAGCTCCCCAATGTACGTAGCGTAACGTTTTATAGATGTGAATAAATGTTGACTGTGGACAGAAACTGTGCACAATTTGTTCTTATCAAACAAGCCTTGCCACTCCGAATCGGAATCCCGTTGCCACCTCCACCGCTCGGCAGACCAGCCAAAGTGCATCACGTAGATTGCTATTTTCGCTGGCAAGGCAATCTGCTGGGTTGGTGCTGGCCCACAGAGAGCCGGCAGGCAACAGGGCTGCTCGCAGAACATGACACCGCCACCGATAGCGTAACCGATGAACCCCAGATCGAGTGGGTTCGAGGGCATGGCAGTGCGGGGTTGCGCTTCTGCGTCTGTCTGGTGTTTCGTGAGGAGGCAGCTGACCGAAAAGTGCAAATGTTGCATATTAAATTAACGCTAGTTGACAGTGCCCCATGCCCCACGCCACACCATGCCCCACGCCACACCATGCCCCTCCCGGCGCGGCGTGCGAAACAGAATTAGTCGAAGCGTGAAGCTGGCAACCATAAAAGCCACAGGGTAAAAATTGAGTTAAAAACTGAAAATTCTTATCGAGCAGCGGGGAAGTCATGAGACGGGAAGGCAATAAACTGAATATTGGCTTGTCAGCGCCGTTCCAGCAACAGCAATAGCAAAAATACCCAACAGTCAACAGTCAATCATTTAAACCATTTTTTGTTCTCCTTATCGCCAAAAAAGTTTTTATTATTGTTCGATTCGCCTGTCACTCTGCGAATTCTCACAGAACTTACGAGCAAAGTTTCCCATCGGAGAAATATGTCACCGACCGACCTCTCAGACGTATTTCAAAGCCGCTAAAACGGTCTCGCAGACCTCATTTGAAATGCGGCACAGGGCGGATCATAATAACCAAATTACTCATACGCAGGGCTTCAGCCGATTCCAGGGCCCAGACACAGAGATGCTGTTAACAACGTTGGTGGGTAAGGTGCAATAATTCAAAAACTGTCTAGACTTTCACCGAGACAAAGACAAAGCAGTGCAAAGCAGGGCAAAGCAGCGCAAAGCAGGGGGGTACTGGTCCATCTAGCATCTCGACAGTGTGTTTATGCTCTCTGAGGTTCTGGTGTGCCATTCTGCTTAAAGTCGTTAAACGTCGCAGACACCCGAACAATTTTTAGAACTTTACGAGCAGCAGGCAAGAACAGTGGCAACAACAGTGTCAGTGCCGCCGGGCAGCTAGATTTTAGTTTTTGCATTTATTGACGCAATCGATTCGAAATTTCGATGGTATGGGATGGATTATACTGGGCCTTTGTACATGCCCCACATGTAAACAATCCACCAGCAATAAAGAAATATTTATATCGCTGCAAAACAACAACAGCCGAGAGTTCCTAATTACACGAAAACGCATCCATTCATCTTCGTGGAAATAATAAACCCAATAAAGTCAAATCAACGGGGAACCTAGACATGTATGTAGATCAGAAAATAATAAATTCTAAATGATATATGATATATGATGTTGATCTGTGGTCCAGGAGTGAGCCGGTGTCGAGCCCTGTCAGCGGTGAAAAGTCGCTGGGGGGCCCTGACCCATGACAAATGAAAATTATATTGACAAATGGCTTATTTGTTGCCCTGCTTTGTCGGTTGAACTAGAGACGGGGAAAAACCCGACGCCCAGAGCCAACAACAGCAAAAACAGCAGCAGAAATTATATATATTTTTGAAATTCTCATACGTTTGTATGTATGAAATGCCGACAAGCTTAGAAGCAAAATTCCAAACGATTTTGGTTAAATATAGAAAGAAAGTCCCCCTTCTGGGTGGAGGGGATATGCCGGGCGGCTATATCTGCACACACATGCGCTTATTTGTGTCTATGCATGTACTCTAGTGTACAAAGAGCTAATGAGCGATGTGGTTCGACGACATAATTGATGGCTTGATAGATGCTCGAATGAATCCGCATCTGTCTTGGGGACAGGTTGATTCATACTTAAGTGATTGACTTCTGGGGTTAAAAGCACCATCAATCGGATCAAATCTGGTAAAACGGGGCTCTCACGTCACAAGGATGCTAGTAGATTTTCCTCATAGAACCATGGGAAATAGGGGAGATCTTTGATTACATTTTGGCAGCTTAGAATATTATTGGCAAATAATACCACGGGAATTGTCTCCCTTCATGTCTATAATAAATACCAAAGCAGTGTTCCTATCTGGCAAATTGGAATTACCAAAGGTATTCCTTCCAAGTCTCCAAGTATTGAAGGAGGAACAACATTCTCAAACCAATAGCATTCCCCTTCAACTTGTTTTCGAGTGTAGAACCAATAAAAAACTTTTCGAACTACATATTTCAGAACCGTCATCCCCGAAGAGGTACTGAAGGTAAATCGGGAATTCTTCCCCTCTAAAGTTACAGGAATTTAACTAGTCCATCCCCCAGCCTGAAATTTTTTGCAGGATATCAAACTGTGAGTGGGCTAAGAGAGGGGGGTGGAACAAAATGAACAACATTGTTGATAAAACTGATTGAACCCTGCTCAGGTATTCAGCAATTTGCAACAAGCTGTCAGTCCAAGATATTGCCCGTAGATTTGGGTGCACCAGTGTGGGTGTGCAAATACATTTATCTATGAGCCATATTTATGGATGTGTGCACAGCGAAATATTTGCAAATTGACTTCAGCAGAGCGTAGCGGTGGCAACAACAAAACCTTCGGTGTAGCTCGGCATCAAACGGTACGCTTTGTGCAAATCAAATTTATAACGCCCCCCAACGCCAGAAAAAAAGCCCATCTACAACAATGACAATCGACGCCTGCCTGCCAGTGCTGCCATCTGTTTGGGTCGATAGAATGCACTGCACATGGCGTGAAAGCTCACGGCACCATCATCGGAGTGGGAGAGCAAGAGCCAGAGCCAGAGGAGCTTTCCTGGCCAAACACAATCAGCTGTGCTCTGCAAAGTGCTGCGTAATTTTATTTCTAAGAGCAAACAAACATATGAGACCCCATTCATTTCCTTCCCCTGTCAACCCCTTACGCTCTAATGTACGTGTTTGCATGTGGAAACAGCATTAGTAGCGAGACAACAAAGCACAGCTGTGTGCGCGAGAGCTTTGTAAATTGGCGCGCGCGCTCTCTCTTCACTTCTCTCGCACTCGCACTCGCACTCTATCTCTCTCGCTCTCGCTCTTCCTATGGATGGCTTATTTATTGCGCACCTTTCAAGCTGTCGGCAAAGTGAAACCCCATTGAGTGGTTACGGTAACCTCAGCGACTGATACACATGTAATCCCATATGAGAGCCAAGGACAAATAAATTTAGAAGTACTTATGAATATTTGCAGTTCGCCCCATTTGCAATTGCGACTGTCAATCAAAATCAACGGCGAGAAGTAGCGTGTAACCTGTCACTTGTACGGGGTACCTACTGTGGCATGACCATTGACTTTATAACTGGTTTTCCTCACAGCTCCACAGAGGCGAACTCACTTTCGATGGAGGGCCTCGCGCCCAATTTGACAGCTGCCAGAATATTTTGCTAGGGCCGCTGCCAAGTGCATGGGACAAGGTCATTATAAATGTGTATTTTCAATAATATTCTGCTCTGCTCTGCTCTGCTCTGTATTCTATTTGTGCCCCAAAAAGCGAAAGCAGTCAAACAAATAATTTGTGTTTTCAGTTTGAAACAAATTTCGTAATTGAGCATATTTATTTTTATCGGCAAGGTCGCTGTCAGAGCATTTACATGAGAAGCAGGCAGACAGCGCCGACTACGGGGCCCTAAACTGGGGCTAGGCTAAATTCACAAACAATACACAGTCGTCGGGAGAATAGTGTCCCTGTTTAAGTATTCCTGGCCTCTTCGAAATTCATATTTATGTAGGTTCTTGTCTGATTAGAAACATAGTTGAATACCATTGGATATAAAGCCAGACGAGAACTTATTGTGCACTTTTGAGCTCGAGCAACACCAAATTCTAAATTGTTCGCGGCACCCGAGAGCAACTGCAGCCGCCCCTGTGCGCATGTCGAGCGACCTACACACAAAAGCAGCACTGAACAGGCCAGAATCGGAATACAGCACGACCACTCACACATACACAGAGACTCACGTACACACACGTCGACTGCTTGTTGGAGTTCGCGTGGTGGTTCTCTTCTCAGTGGTTGGTGGATTCATTTGAACATTTGGTGGCACTGCGAGCGGACATCGACGACACGGGACGCGACCAGAGAGGAAGCAACTACAGCTACAGCTACAGCAACAAAAACAGAAACAGAAACAAAGGTTAAGCGAAGGGAAAACGCATCTAAGGCCAGCAGCGGAGAGAGACAGACCAGACCAGACCAGACCCATTGGCCCATTGGAGACCCCTGGCTTTGTCCGTCGCGGACTGGACTGGAATTAGTAACTGTGCTTGCACGCACTTTTGGTTTCTTTGTTACGAATCTTTGGCTCCATCCACAGACCACAGAAAAAGACTCAACTAAGTGCGCAATTACAACAAACGCGAAACGTGCGCAATAATTTGTTTAAAATCAATGAAGACTGCAACTGCGCAAAAGTGGATTGCATCACACAGACAAAAGCAGTTTTGAGGCAAATATAGAAATAAATGAGAGCTGAAAATCAATAGGCGAAATCTGCAACGCTTTGGATGAGAAGAGTCTAAAGAAGCCACAGAAGCTGCCCGATTCAACAAATTTACATAATTGCAAGTGCCTGGCAGCCAGAGCAGCAACAGCATCAAAATGCCCTCGTTGCTGGAGGCGCTGGAGCGCAAGTACTTCTCGGAGTGCGAGTTCGAGAACGCCCACGAGCCGGAGCTGCACAAGCGCGCGGACCTGCCCAACGACTTTACGGTGACCAAGTGCGGCGGCCGGATGGAGTTCTCCATCTTCATTCCGCGCCTCTCGCCCCTGACCAGCGTGCCTGCACTGCTTGTGCTGAACGACTGCGACATTGATTCGGCGGGCGACTTCGAGAGCATCCAGGAGAAGTGCCAGCGCGTGCGGGAGCTGGACCTGGCCCAGAACAAGCTCAGCGACTGGCAGGAGGTGTTCAACATCCTGAAGCACATGCCGCGCATCGAGTTCCTCAACCTTAGCAAGAACCAGTTGGGCAGTCCGCTCAGATCCCTGGCGGAGGCTCCTGTCATCAACCTGAAGAGTCTGGTGCTCAACGGCACCTACCTGGACTGGCAGTGCGTGGACGCGCTGCTCCAGAACCTGCCGGTGCTGCAGGAGCTGCACCTGAGCCTGAACAACTACACGAATGTCCTGATCGACGCCGAGGAGGCGGAGCGACGACTGCAGGAGGATGGTGAGGCCGGCCAGTGCGACTGCCCGAAGGAGAAGAGGAGAATCACCAAAGCCCATCCCGCCCTGAAGACACTGCATTTCACAGGCAATCCCATCGAGCACTGGCAGGAGATATGTCGGCTGGGTCGTCTCTTCCCCAACCTGGAGGCCCTGGTCCTGGCCGACTGTCCCATCCGGTCGCTGCAGGCCGAGGAGAGCCGGGACTGCGACTCCCACAAGTACTTCCCCAGCCTGAAGCTGCTGAATCTGAGCTCCGCTCAGCTTAATTGCTGGAGTGCCATCGACGAGCTGGCCAAATTCCAGCAGCTGCAGAACCTCCGGGTCAAGCACTGGCCGCTGTGGGAGAATCTGGAGTGCACAGAGCACGAGCGACGTCAGCTGCTGATAGCCCGGCTGCCCAACGTGGAGATGCTTAACGGCGGTGGCAAGATCGGCACGGACGAGCGCATCGATGCAGAGCGCGCCTTCGTCCGTCACTATATGGACAAGCCGGAGGCCGAGCGCCCGGCCCGGTACAAGGAGCTGCTCCAGGTGCACGGAAAGCTGGACCCCCTGGTCGATGTCAGCCTGAAGCCGGACAAACGCGTCAAGGTCATCTTCAACTATGGCGAGTTGCGCGAGAGCCGATTTGTGGACATATATCTGACGGTGAACGACCTGAAGGCCAAACTGGAGAAGTTGGTCAACCTGCCGCCCAACAAGATGCGCCTCTTCTACCTGGACCAGGACTACAAGGAGTTCGGGCCCGAGGAGATGCGCTTCCCCAACAAGAAGCTGTACAGCTACAACATCCAGTCGGGCGATGAGATCATCATCGACGCCAAGAAGTGATGTCCCCATCATGCAGCGGAACGAACGAAAGGAGGCCCGGCCTGGTGCTACAACTTGTGATCTTGTGTCATTGCGGATACACAACCATATATGATCCATTTATATTTAATGTATGTTTATTTCTATCATTATATTCTCGGTTCTCCCCCGACAAGCTACTGTAAATACAATACATTCATAGGCGGCCGAGCAAGCATTACAAGGTGCACATACACACATACATACATACAAATATTTTAATTACTGCCTAACCTAAGCCCATAAAAAATGCATTAAACAATTTTACAAAAACTTCCTACCCGTCTCTGCTCTGCACTCAACAATGCCCCAAACGATGGTGTCGTCTATTGGAGAGAGGAGTACTTTTTGGGGGCCTAAGATATGACTGAGACTCAGTTCAGTGCAGAATCAAAACAAACGCACACAAAGGGTCACGACACTCTGCCCGTGTGCTTGTGTGCTTGTCTGCGGGGGAGCTTTCAGAGCGAGTCAGAGCTTTGAAAAGCGGTTTCCAAATAAGCTTGGAACTGGCTCTCTCTCCGCTGCTTCGCTTCCCACATATAGTTAGCAGAATAGTAAATGCTTTGTGCTGATTGTTTAATTTAACCATTTAGAATGAGAGTAAATCAGGCATACGATTTTGTGGGGGAGCTGCTCGTATCTTTCTAATTAGGATCAATAAGATAAGCCATAAAAAGATCTGGGATCAGTATTCTTACGAGCATCCATTAGAAAAACTCGCTCAAGAGCTGTCTCAAAGGTAAAAAGAAGCACAAGTAGAAGAAACAATACTAGTTACGAGTCTTTCCAGGCTAAGATAAGATTGTTAATAGTACAAGCTTAATTTTAGAGGACTGTTTCGAGATAAAATACTGATTCCATTTCATTACTCATCATAACATATGCCTTATCATGCGTTTCGCTCAGTGTAGTTGCCAAAGTTAGCTGCTAATGTGCAGAATTTCCTAAGAATCAGATCCCAGCTGGTTAGAACTTTCCCACGATTCTTTGGTAATTTTCCCAATTGAGGTGCACACACACCCCAAACCGTTGGCCAAACTCTCCCATATTTGCCTTGTCTATGGAGGGAGTACTATGCTCGCCAAATGGGAGTACTCGTTCAATGCTAATGACGTGCGATCGTTTGGCAGCACGTTGGGCGAAGACAAAGTCGACAGATCGTGACTGGAGTGAGCCTGACCCGCCCACGAAGACACACCGAAAGAGACCCCAAAACGCTAAAATCCGCCAATTTTTATGACAGTTGTTTGATGACGAGGTGCAATATACTTCCACAAACGTACATACATACATATACAACGTACAGTGTACATACATGTAAACGTTTTGTAGGTATTATACGGTATATATCAAAATAAAATCAAATAAAGGTCTGCGTAGATCTAGCCTGGTCATAAAATGCAAGGTGTGTGGAATAAAAACTGTTTATGTAGATAATTAATAAAATTTACACATGAGGGTTTTGGATGTCTCGATGTTAAGGAAGGGAAGGTTTTTTAACTGGGGACTCACTCAACCGTCGATCGAGTTGCGGATCGAGTGCCGTTGCGATCAGACGTGGCGGGAGTGTTTTTAACAGCGTTTTGAGAGTGAAGTGGTGTGGAATGAGACCAGAATGGATCCCGACAACGATATTTATGCATTCTACGACATCCGGGGGTACAAGGGGTACTTCTTGCTGATATATAATAATATATGTGACTGGTTTCAATGCCTATTGATGTTAATGGTGATCCTTTCGTTCTCTTCGCTTACAGGAAATGTAGACCGGGTGGGCCAAACTCGGAAAGAAACCTGCAACCGCGAATGTCACTCCTAGGGAAGCCGCTGAACTACAATCGCGGCTCTCGCCGCGATGTTCGTTACCGGCGTCTCCAGAGTCGCCTCTACAACTTCCTGGAGCGTCCGCGCGGCCTGCATGCCATCTTTTACCATGTGATGGTGTAAGTGAGCGGATAGCGGATGCCTAGTGGATCTGGTAGTAACCTTGTCCTTTCAGATTCCTGATGGTGTTCACATGCCTCGCCCTGAGCGTGTTTTCCACCATCAAGGAGTACGAGGACGACGCCGTGTACATTCTCTTTCGGATGGAGATCCTGGTTGTCATCTGGTTTACGATGGAGTTCGGTGCCCGACTATGGTCGTCGGGCTGCCGGTCGCGCTACCAGGGCTGCCTGGGGCGTCTGAAGTTCGTAAAGAGACCATTTTGTATTATAGGTGAGTGGAGCTGGAGAGCGACTAAAAGAAGGACTATCTGAGGACCAAGGTCTCTGTGTGCTTTTCAGATATTGTCACCATTTTAGCCTCAATTGTAGTATTAGGCATGGGCACTTCGGGCCAGGTGTTCGCCACGAGCGCGTTGCGAGGCCTGCGGTTCTTTCAGATACTGCGCATGGTGCGCATGGATCGTCGTGGAGGCACCTGGAAGCTCCTCGGTTCGGTTGTATACGCACACAGACAGGTGGGCCGATCCGCTAACGCCTCCCCTAACGGCACATGTATTTTTACCGATTCGTCTGCATTGCAGGAGCTGATCACAACCATGTATATAGGATTCTTAGGTCTAATCTTTGCATCATTCCTGGTCTACATGTGGGAGAAGGATGTCAACGACAAGTTCAGCAACTTTGCACAGGCCCTCTGGTGGGGTGTGGTAGGTTCAAAGGCCCCCCTTTCCCTTCCCCCACTGTACCATCACTTATTCCGCCCGACATATCCCCACAGATCACACTGTGCACGGTGGGCTACGGCGACATGGTGCCCATCACCTGGCAGGGCAAGCTGATTGCCTCCTGTTGCGCCCTCCTGGGCATCTCGTTTTTCGCTCTGCCGGCGGTAAGTCCATAATCCATATTGAATGGCATCCTGTTTGCCCGTTTTTGTGGGTCCTGCTTCCTGTGCTGACCCGACCGACCGACTTCCTTCCGCAGGGAATCCTGGGCAGCGGCTTTGCACTGAAGGTGCAGCAGCAGCAGCGACAGAAGCACATGATCCGACGGCGCCAGCCGGCGGCCACACTCATCCAGGCCGTGTGGCGGTGCTATGCGTCCGATGAGCATTCCGTGTCTGTGGCCACGTGGAAGATACACCAGGTGGCTCTGCCCAGTCCGCCGGCTTCGTAAGTATTTTTGCACAAGTCCGCAGATGGACCTTTGTTTGTATTCAGGGATATTTCGCGGATGAGAAGTGGATTGACCTTTGTATAGACACAGATTATTCACACACACACACACACCACTCACAAACACACACACACACAAACAATTGACACAAAACTGCATTCGTGTGTATAACAATATAGAAAATTGGTTCACGAGCTGCTGAGGTGAAACGTGTCGTAGAACAATCAGAGAACCCGCCAATCTGCAGCTCATGAAACCAATTTTTGAAACAGAAATAATCCAAATTGTACAAAAAGCGAAACGCAACCCAATAAACTAGAAACACCCAGCATGGGTAGAACTATTAGAGATATACATATCTATACATATACATATAGCGTATCTTTATCTTGTGTGCTCCCCGATCAACGCCCACTCGACTGCCACCATCTCTCTCTCTCTCTCTCCCTCTAACCGCCCAACCCCCCCTCTCTCTCTTTGTCTCTCTGTCTGTTTGCGCCTATCCGCTCGCCAACCGATTAACCACTTAAGTTTTTACGAATATAATTTAATTTCTTTCCATCGATAATATAATTTTTGTAAACATTTTCAGTTCTGAAAACTGGGAGCGATTATTAAAAAACATAAGTGAATATAGGTAAAACCTGATAACCATATCAAAAACCAAACACCACAATTTAAAGCAAAGACTCAGCCAGCAAATTGCCGAATCATCCTGTTACGGGCGGTGGTCCTCCTCGGCCCCTCCCAGCACTCACATTCGTAGTAGACATGGCTCCTCCACATTCAATCGAATCAAATCAAGATAATTCGCAGCTTACTTACCATCTCCCATCAGCACCCATCTCTCTCTCTCTATCTCTGTCTCTCCCTCTCTCTCTCTCTCTCTCTCTCTCTCTGTCTTTCTCTCTCATACATCTCTTCCGACTGCTGCTACATTTGAAAGAATTCTATGCTTAATTTTTTGAAATTTTCCCCAAAGACCAAGTCAAATTAATCAATGTGATACGAATTGATTCTCATTCTGTGTGTTCTGCTGCCCCATGCGCCCGCGCGGTCATTCAACCAACAAAAAAACAAAAAAAAAAAACAACAACTCCATAAAAATGCAAATAAATGTGTGTGTAAACTATAATTAACACGTGAGTTCAATGAAGCCAAATGAGCTAAATGCTTTTTATTCGATTCTCTCTCTCTCTCTCTCTGCTCCCCTCTCTGTTTGTGTCCCCCTCTACTCCAAGAAACCCACCCACCCACTCACTCCTTCCAGTCCAGCCCAGCCCCTACCCTGAGCACTTCAGCTAAGCCGCGGCTCAGCTGGATCCTAGCCAAGAGAATACGTTTCCGGTACACCTAGATCAGATCCTTTTTCCGTCAGTCCGCGTGAGGGATCCGTTAAGGAAGATCCGAGCTAATGAGGATACACCACCTGAGGAGTAACATGAATGATTTCGATTTAGATAAGATCTGCTAGTGGATGGGTATCGGGAACGTATCGCAGTCGGCAGCGGACCGACTTCAGTGCCGCACATCAATTGTAATTGTAAATGCTTGAATTAATCCTCAATGTTTTACCACAGCACGTAGCACCCAAAGCTCAACCACCTACTTTCTCACCTCTCAATGTCTGCACACCCACAAAAACACACACAGCTACACCTACACTTGTACCACACGATCCTATCTCACTCGTATCTTACTACCTGTTTGCGTTTGCCAGATAACCTACCTCTCAGTTTTAAAATACTATGTATATACTCGTGTGTCTCGACTACAGCTTTTTGATATCTGCAACTATCTGAGTGTTGACTAAAACTATCATATTCTCTGTTCTCGAACATCGCCCATCCTGATCCGATACAGACGCGCGTCCTCCAGCTTTAAGCACAACACATCTTTCGTGGCCCGGCTGCCCACAATTAGGCGACACAAGAGCCAGACCATCCAGACCCCGGGTGCCGATGGCAGCGGCCTGTCCAAGCCCCCGGGCTCGTCCCGTGCCTCCACACGCTACACTCGCACCATTCGGGACATCAATGCATCCGTCGAGAACTTGGGTAAGTTGCAGGCCGAACGATTTCCGACTCCTCTCCGTTTATGTTTCCCATTTCGATTCCATTACAAATTTCTGTTTGCACACAACCCACACTTACTCACTCAATCAATCACACACACACACACACACGCCAAGCTTAACAGGATATGGGGATACAGTGCGTTTTGTAGCTATAAGGAACTAATGGATCGATCGCGGATCGATGGCTGAACTAATTTGAAAAGCTCTACCATTTAATATTCGATAAATGTTATTATATTTACAATACATTTCCTAAGTACACAAAACCGCTGTTCCAGCTCGCTCAAGGCCATAAAACGCTCTGTACAGTCCGTGCATGTTGTTCTTTCCAACTCTACTTTTGCAGGGCAAACAATATCAAAAAGAAGGATTTCTTTTGCTATTTACGCTGCCCCCAGCACCCCTAAAGACAAGGAACACCCCCCTCCCCCCAACCAACCAGTATAAGTAGCCAATAAATGTGGGAGAATTCAGTTTATAGATATGTCTTTGGTTACTTGAACTGAAAGATGGAATGCACTTAACTCGTTTCGATGGACATATTTACTCTATAATTTGTTGGTTTTTTGTTATCGTCATGCATGCAATGCTCTGCCATCAATTTCAATTCAAGAAGTGCCCAATCAATTAGCCCTGAATCAAACAATAAACAATAAATAGTAGTTCCAGCCAGACTGTATGCATTATTGACATTGATTTGCCGATTCCATTCCAGAAGCGTGTTCATGAGTAAATATGTTAGTTATGAATTAATTGTCTTTACAAATAACGTAATTATTTAAAAACTAATTAGAGCTATCTTTAGTTTTCGGTCATCTGTTGGCCGCAACTGCCATACTCATTTTTGGACTAGGATTTAATCTATGTGACCAACAGAATTATCTTCTCAGACCCCACAAATATCAATCAATCGCTTTCTGCCTTTAGGGAGTATGAAAAGAGATAAGACTAGGACTAGCTTCAGTGGATTTGTGCGAAAGGAACCCAAAGTTACAGCTAGACCAAGTGCAAAGTCATGACCTCATAAACCAGAATCAAATCAAGTCAAACGTAACTCCTAAGTTGACCAACAAACAATTGATAGAAAATAAAACACAGAATGATAAAACACAAAAAAGAAAACTGCATCCACTCAAAAAAGAAGAGGGAAGAAGTAGTTCCACTGCTATAGAAGGTAGAGCCGATTTTTCCCCACTTGTAACAACAATTATGATTTATGTATTTTCGTAGCCAAGGCCCCACCCCATAGAGCGTGTCCGTACCGTGTCTTTTGAACCCAAGTTTTACTGACACATACTATACTCGTACTCGTAGTCCACCTTCAGTTATAGTTACAATTACAGCCTCCTCCGAGATATATTGTGTACATACCCGCATACCTAGTGTGCGGAATGAAAGTTTAACCTTTGATTTGAAATTTTGCAGAGGTAGTACAGAATGGCAAATCCATGAATCCAAGTTTCAGCGAAGATTCTGTGGCTGAGACCACTTGCTTAAAAAATATTAAAAATTCAGACGGTAAGTCTACAAGGTCCTCTCCCCCAGGTCCTACAATACGAATGTCGAGAGAAAAAAACAAAAAAAAAAAAACTCAAAACTTAAACAAACAAACTTTTTTTGTATCACATTTTATTATATTGAGTGTTGTGGTTGTGTCAATGTTGTGACTTGCATCCCAGAGATAAGACTGATTGAAATTTTAATTGATGTTGTTTGTTGGTTACATAACATTCCCGACACCCGACCCACGACACACGACACCCGACACCCTACACCCTACACCCCCATCACCAGACGCCCGACTCCACGAATCCACGACTCCCCGACTAACTGTGGCTCCACTAACCCTGGGACAGAGGGATCGCCATCGACATCGACAGCAACTAATTCCGCTCTCTAACTCACTTAGCCCAGCCCAGTGGCCAGCTGGCCAACTGCAAGCTCAGCTCCAGTGCTGGCGCTCTGGCCCAGTTCTCCCACCAGGCGTCATCGGTCGAGGAGGGTCCGGGCCAGGCCAAAAGCGAGTCTGCCTCTAGAAATCTAACCATTCCCGTGGTGCTGTTTGGCTTTCTGCATGGCAGCTTATTCGGCTCATCGCTTTCGCTGCGCAATACCCGGGTGGCCCCCACAAACCCTGCGGACCTGGAGGCCGGCCAAGAGGACCCCAATACGGATAACTTTGAGAGGAACAGCACGATGACGCTGCCAGTGCCCACCCAGCGCCGCAGTGCCAGTCCGAGTCCGAGCTCGGGAAGTGGTCGGACGGGTCGATTCTTTGCAGCCGCATCGCAGTTCCTGGAGACAGGATTCTCGCACAGATCGGCTGCTGCTGATGGTGGGCCGAACGGGTCCTTCGGTGTGGCAAGTGCGTGCGAAGCATCTCTCTCCCGCTCTGGGAGGATCTCCTACCCTCTGCTATGCTGCGATGCTAGGGATGCATGCCGTCCACCTGTGTAGAGTGCCCCGCTTTGATTTGTAGCCTTAGTTAGTCCCAGTCCAGCCGCACTCCATGCTCCCCCCACACACATCCCATCTGCCACTAGACATAGGACACAGGACACAAAACACCACAACGCTTGCTTCAGAACTGGGCTGGAGAATATTCCAGCCATCTACAGGCATCTCCGACTAACTCCTACTAACTAAGCTCTAGCTCTCTCTCTCTATCTCTTGTTGACATTAATCATATAATTCTATATATATAATTATCAATATCGTATCCGTATTTACTAATTGCTCCATATATGTGTGTAACGGTACTTTTTGTATGTGTTGTTGTATATTTGGGTTGACGTTGACTTGCTTAAATGTATCCAAAACCAAAAAAAAAAACACCAATAACCAAACCAAACCAAAACCAACCAAGCGAAGCTAGCAACCAAAACCTAACGCACAAGTCAATCTCTCTGATTCACAAATTGCCCGCAGATGAGGAAGATGAGCCGCGCTGCACGCAGCTAACCAATAGACACAAGACGGCCATTCGGTTCATTCGCAAGGTGAGTACGTGGTTGGACACGGACACGGACACGGGGCACCACTCACCACTGGAAGGGATCGAGTCGGATATGCAACTGAGAGAGATTTTTATTGCAGCTCAAGTACTTTGTGGCACGGCGCAAGTTCAAGGAGGCCTTGAAGCCGTACGATGTCAAGGATGTCATGGAGCAGTACGCAGCTGGTGAGCACCAAAGCCCTCCCCTGTTCTGCTCCCCTAAATAGTATCCTTCAGGCTATGAGCTATAACTCTAAGACTAGCAATACTAGCTTCAAAACTTTATACCTCTCTTTGCTCCTTCTAGGCCACGTGGACCTGTTGGGTCGCGTTAAGATGCTTCATTTGCGGTGAGTCTGCCAAATAAACGTGGAATGAACATCCGTTTCCCTACCATTTACTCACTCACGTTCATTCCACAGTTTGGATCAAATCCTGGGCAAACAAGGCTCCAAGGCCAAGGACGTCTATGCATCTAAAATAAGTTTAGCCTCCCGTGTGGTTAAAGTCGAGCGACAGGTGAGGTGGCCCCACAATGATTGACCAGCCCAACAGAGCTAGACTGTAATTATTGTTGATTGGATAGGTCGCTGACATAGAAGAGAAGCTGGACGTGCTGATCAAAGCCTACATGGAGGATCGTGATAGATTCTTGGCCCTACCCCTCCCAGCAAAGCCCAGCAAAATACATTCCATTAGCCCTAGCCACAATCCCCTGCACCACACTCACAACCTGTCGATGATCGATGTTTGGAAGCGCACCGCGGCACTGAGTGTGCATCCAGAGCACACACCGACCGCCACTTCGGCCACATCCACGGATGGCACAGAGCTGAGGGCGCTCACCTCCACGCAGACAATCACAACGACAACCGATGTGATCGCCACGCAAACCCCGATGCCGCCTCACACGCAGCATACATCGACCAATACCAAGGTAGAACTGAGACTGAGTCCCTCCAAACGATCTCATAATTGTACATGTATATCCTTTGTAGTCTTCCGTGCTTAACTCATATCAGCTGGGGTCTGAGAAGCAGCAGCACAATGATGTTTTTATGACTGAATTAGATAATAGGACCAAGAAACGTGTTACGTTAAGGTTGGTTCCGCCATTCCCATAAGCAAATCCTTATACGAATAAGAACTATCACATGTATTGCAGCCTGCATAGATCCACATCGGAGCCATATAGCAAGCAGGAACAGCGCATTAGTATACCAGACGAGGGAGCACAATCCCTGGAGTGCGCTGCAAAGGCAACGCCGCCAGATAGTTCAAGTAATTAAATCAAATTATCAGTCGAAATATATATATGTAGACTTTGTGCCTGCCTTTGAAAATGTTCCCAAAATTCGTACTGCTTTAAATGCACTGCGGAACCGAATTAGAAGTTGAGGTTCTGAATATTTAAGTACGTATATCTCCCCACATCATACAGTTATCCTTATCGACGAGTATGAGGACTTCGAAGAGGAAGATCTGAACTGCGAGGGCGAAATGGAACATTTCCCATCGTGGGAGATCGACAGCGACATTGGGGTCGACGTGGATGTGGATGCTGACGGTGACGGTGACTGTGATGAGTCCACTGAGGACACGGCCCTGCTGCACTGTGCCACGCGCACCGCCATTGTTATTACACCAATTAGCCCAGTAAGTCACATTCAATTACTGTTGTCCATTTGTGAATGAAACTCTTCGATTTGATATATAGGTAAGCTCCGCACACAATCTTCAACAGTTAAATGACCAAACTACAACGCTTAATAAATCAAATTTGCTTCCGCCAGACTCTGGCTAGTTAATTGCATTGGAATTAGCCTAAATGTACGTGTAGCTATTACATTATCATTAGAATTGTATTATGTACTATGGAATACATATTTATGTCATTTTCTGACATCTCTGTGTTCAAATTATGGATAGCAAATGAACGGAAATCAAATTAAATATATCTGCTTTAGCAAAGAAATGGCTAATCATCCGAACGGAGTTTTCTTCCATGTTTTCTGTTTGAGCCACGGTTCGGCTTTGGTTCCCCCTCTGCCTCATCCTCGGCAAATTCCAGCGCACATTCTTCATCCTCCTGCTCCATATCCTCCTCTTCCTCATGCTCTACTTCCTCATGCTCTACTTCCTCCTCCTCCTCCTCTGTAACGTTATAATCAACGTCTTTCATCGTGTCCATGTCAACAGCAGAATCGTCTATGAACTCAACTTTTTTATCTTTCAAAATACCAAAGCAACGTTTCTTCGCTGCCGGCGGCCTGGCGATGGCATACGCCTCCTCCTCGAGCACATCGTCGGCTACTAAAGTGGAGTTGTGCACCTTGCGCAAATGCACGTTCAGCTGGGAACTGGTGGTAAACGAACGGCCGCAGCCGTCGTCAATGTAGTTACGGCACACATGCTTGGAGGCGTGCACACGTTGTATGTGGTTGGTCAGTCCTTGGCGTCGACCAAAGTGCTTGTCGCACATCTTGCAGTCGAAGGCGAATCGCTTAAAGTGCTGGCCCAGGGTATGAACAGACAGTGACTTTTTGTTCCTGGTGGTGAAGCTGCACTGCTCGCAACTGTACGACTGGGAATGGAGCTACAGGGGGATACCATACATCGGTTGGAGATCGAATTAGTAATGCTACAGTACATACCCTCTTGTGAGCCTCCATCTCGCTCTTGTGGTAGAAGCCTTTCTCGCACACACTGCAGGTGTAGCGCTTTTTGTTTGAGTGCACCACATTCACGTGGGTGTCATAGTTACGCCTGTTCTTGACAATCTTGAAGCACTGCGGACACTCGATGGGCTCGTGCCAGTAAGCAAAGTGTTTATCCAGGGCATCCTTGCTCTTGTACGAGGCGTTGCAAAGTGAACAGACCACATTGTCTGAGAAGAAGCGTCGTTAAGATAGTCGGGAATTAGATTAGGCGTATTGTGCACTCACCATTATTGTGGCTCCGGGCGACATGGACGGATAAGGACATTTTCGATCGGCATAGCTTAAGACAGAATTGGCATTGCCATTCCTGCAGCGGCTTGGCCGATTTCTCCTGCCGCTCTTTAGACTCATCGTGAGTGCGTCGCTTGTGCGTGTAGAGTGAGTTCCAGTTCGCATATGCCGCCGAGCAGTCCTGAAAGGAAGATTCATTCAAGCCACAGGTTTTACGGTTGTCTGGCGTGCCATGTCACCTTCTGGTCGCACATGAAGAATGTGCAAATGTCCAGCTTCCGATGAGCAACATCTACACGCAGTTGTTGATAGTTGCGCCAATGGTGACGATACAATTTCATGTCGGTAAAATCCTTTCCGCAAGGCTGACACGAAAAAACGCCATTGTCGTGCACACCAGTCTCGCGATGGGACTGTAAGTCTGACTTCTGCTTAAAGTACGTGGTGCAGTATTCACAGACATAGGCATCGCGTAGCAGTTCCACGTACCTCTCCGCCCCAAAGCAGGCAGAGCCCTCGCTCCCGAAGTGGGCGTCCATTTTCTCCTGATTCTCGCTCAGTTGGCCACAATTCCCGCAGACATGAACGGAACGTTCGATAATCAAATGGGACTTCATGTGGACGTTGTACGTGGCCTCAGAGGCAAACTCGCGGGAGCAGAGCTCACAGCTGATGACGTTGCCATGCATTGATCTCTGAAAAGTTTACCCTGATAAGTTCAGCTATATTACCAGAATATCTCGACGCAAATTCTTACTGTGTGGCTGTTCAGTTTCCCACGTGTCTCGAAGGTAGCCAGGCATTCGCCGCAGGTGTAGGTGGCGTTGCCCACAGTCGCGTGCGACGTGTTGTGCTCTATGAAGACAGCGGGATCCCGGAACGTGCGATCGCAACTGAAAGCGGAGGAGAAGTCAGTATGTGGAAATGGTGCAGTAGAGCCTGAGAGAACGTTACTAACAGATCACAGAAGAGAGTGCCCTCTGGCTCGTGGGAATAATGCAAATGCTGGAAGAGCTCGTCGATGTTGGTGTTCTCATAGCCACAGACAAAGCAAGCGCGCGGTCGGTGCTTCTCCAAATGGAATTGATTGTGAAAATTGAAGCTGCATGGAAAAGGAAGAGGATATATCATGACAAGAGCAACTTCATTAGAAATCAGAGCATACCGCTTCCAGGAGGGAAACTCCAGGGCGCACATTTCGCAAAACAAGCGAACGCCCCGTTTTTTCTTGATGATATGAGCACACGAATGTTTATTGTATTGTAAAATATTTGAGAAAGTCATCTTGCATTCCGGACAGCTGCCGTAAATGGCAATACTAAAAGAGGGAGGGTTCCATAATATATCACAACGACCTCATAAAACAGACTTTCTTACTCAGCCACAGGCGCATGTAGAACAACCAAATGCATGGCCAGAAGTTTGCGTCCTTTTAGCTCCAAGCTGCAGCCCTCGATTGGGCACCGAAAGACATCCGACCGGGACTTGTGCACCCTCAGCATGTGCTCCAGCAGGTTCTCGTAGGTAGTGGACTTTAATGTGCAATGTTGGCAGACAGTATTCCAGTTGAACTTTAGCTTCTCAAAGCTGGTCCTCACCACCGTGGCTAAGTACTCGTATAAGTCGTCAATGTCATCCTCTGCAATGGCATAAAACGGCACAATAAACGACGGTATGGTTAACACATTCGCAAATTCCGATTCCACGTACTTTCTTTGATCTCGACAAAGTTAAAGAGAATTATATTGCTGGCCTCGCTCTCCTCGTTGTCTGCCTCGCTCTGGCTCTCCGTTTTCTGCCTTTTTAGTCTGGATGGACGGATGTCTGGCTTGGTAATTACCTCCTCTTCAATTGAAATATCTAAAAACCCAAGTTCTTTTAGGACAAAATTCATAAGCCAATAGTTTCTACGCACCTTCATGCTCGTATATGATATTCATTCCATCTAGATCTTCTTCTTCAGTCACCTCAGCTTCAGCCTCAGCCTCCGCTTCCTTCTCTGGCACTGCAATTGTTGTTTGGGAAGAGTCGGGAAGAACTGTTTCTGACTCATCTACCACGCCCGGCTCGTCCTCGTTTAGAATATTGAGAATGAGGGCACTAATCTGCTCCTGGTCTGCCTCCTTCGGAGCATGCTTAGTCTTGGATGGTGCCTTGACTTTATCAACTTCGTCTGCTACAGAGGCCGCAGATGGCAGTGGCACGGATACATTTTTAATTATACGTCGGCTGGGTTTCGGGTCCGGCTGTATCACCGGCACAGGCTTTTCCACTTTAGTTTGGGGCTCCGGCAGTACGGCCTTCTTAGCCGTAGGCTTGACAGGCTGTGCAGTATTTGGAGGCGTGTGGGATCCACTCGTTGCAGCGTTTGGAGCCGTCTTGGAAGCAATCCTTGCAGCATTTGGAGGCGTCTTGGGTGCGCTCTTTGGGGCAGGAGCATCCTGGACAGCGCTCTTTCGTCTGGCAATCGCAGCATCCTGTTCTTTCTGTAGCTCGTCAATGTCAAACAATCGGATCAGAACATTCACGCACTCATCGCAAAGAAGCTGTTGCTGCTTTGCGTTGGGTGTCACATCTAAGCTGAAGTGCTTCGCCAGCAGCTCTTTGAGTCCCAGTTCCAGGCCAAATTCATCAAATATCTCCTGGTACTTCAATTTGGCACCGAATGCGCTGCAATGCAGGCAGCTAGGACCGCTGCGGCTTGTTTTTGGGTTTTCCGACATCTTAACTTTGTCCGTCAGCAATAACGCCAGCTGACTGACCGATACGATACGATTGATGCGATAATCACAGACGCACAACTTGTTAACATGGACAGTCCTTACATTTTTAAACACCCACTTTGCCCGAGAATACAATTTTCTGCGCGTAATTTACTGCATTTCTTTATTTAATTTAATTGCGTGCTTTGCTAAATCGATAAGCGATAAAAATACTTTTCTGGTTTTTTTTGCCAGCTACTAGTGTGACCATATTGCTGCAGGGAGGATTGAAATCTTGATGGTTGCCCGGTAATATTTGAAATTATTTTTAGGTAATCCATTGATAACAATCAGATTCTAACTGTTAACGCGCTTCAGCAGGGCGAAGTAGCTGTAGGAACAGTTCACAATCTGGAAATAAAGAAAATCCATTAGTTATGTTCAGAATGGTGGGTTGATGTTTCCCTACAGATCCAAAAGCCTCCAGACTAAAAGTGAAAGTGGGATTAATAGTGCGCAAGCTAAGAGGCGAGTCTAAGCGCTGCATCATAAGCACAATCATTTGGCGATTTTCCTTGTTCCAGCTGGTCCACTGAGACTTATAGATGCTGTGGCACAGGCGCGAGCTGTGGATTGTCACCTCGTTGGAGGCGTAGCAGATGATGAAGATCTGCCAGAGCATAACCAGCTGGTAGATGCAGGTCTTGGTCATATAGATTGCTTCTCCATTGGCAATCGAAATGGTCGACATGTCGAACAGATTGGAAACCAACACCAGAATCGAGCACATTAGCTGCACACTGCCTGGCACTTTGATAAACACCTCCACCAGATCCTTGAGCTGCACAATCCTGTTGTAGTGGGCACTGCACTCGCGCAGCTCCCTGGCAATGCGCTGGTTATCCTGCGGTGTCTCAGCCGGCCCCAACTGCTGCAGGCGCAGGGCGAACATCTGCACCTGTACCCGTAGATAGGTGAGCACACTGTAGGCCACCGATTCGAAGGCTATGTTCAGGCAGCACGTGGACATCAGAGAGACAGCGTGGGTCAGGAATAGGACCCAGTAGCACATTCGTCCCTCAATGCTGCAGAGCTCGTACATGGTCAGCGGCAGCTCCGAGTTACCCGCAAAGAACGGCACAAGGAGAATAAGGGTGGCT